TTATGAGGGGACTCACGTGGTGTAGTAACTCCCTCACAGATGGTGTTATTAGGGGCATCACGTGGTGTACGAATTCCCTCACAGATGGTGTTATGAGGGGCCTGACGTGGTGTAGTAATTCCCTCAAAGATGGTGTTATGAGTGACTTGACGTGGTGTAGTAATTCCCTCACATATGGTGTTATGAGGGACCTGACGTGGTGTAGTAATTCCCTCACAGATGGTGTTATGAGGGACCTGACGTGGTGTAGTAATTCCCTCACAGATTGTGTTATATGAGTGAGGTGTGGTCCCAGGCCTTCCTATCGTAGACGGATTAACACATCGCTTGTTGTTGTTGGGTCTCATGGGCCGTTATCACTGGGTTCCTGGGACCTCATTGTGTCAAGGTTAACTTGGGTACGACTGTCACTGTTGAGTTGTTCTCACTGAATTAAGCACTGTTCACCTCTGTTTAACACTGGTTCCCTTCCTTTCCTAAATGAAATTGTAACTTCTGGCGAGAACTTGTTGATATTCCGGTGGGGAGGAGGGTTCAGGGGAGGAAGTTGGTATGGGCCAACGTAACAGTTGACCTGGCTGCTCCGAGAGGAGCGCCAGGTACGTCTTGACCCTTCGGTGGTCAAGGATGTAGTGTGTGTGTGTGTGTGCGTTTTGTGTAGCCCGAAACGTTAAAGAATTAAATAAAGGCAGCTCAACCCTTTGTTTCCCCCCATCCATATATATACAGTAAATTTGTTGTGAAGGAAACACAAGATTGAGTTGACTTTATTTATCTAACGTTTCGGGCTACACAGAACCCATCTGTAGAAAGAATACACCATGTTGTTGTTGCAGTTTATTGGATTTCCTGGCTGTTAACATCAATGATCATTACGGCAGTAGTATTGTTCTTTTGACCTCTTCCTTTTGTTCCTTTTTTTTTGCTTCCTATTTTTCTTCTTCCTGGTCTTCTAGTTTTGGTATATACTCGTGCATGAAGGTAAATTCTGAAAGTCTTACTATTGATATATATGATTCTTGTTGTTCTTTTTATGTTTTTCTTTACTTCTGTTGTGTTTGGTTTTTGTTTAATTTCTTCTGGTTTAGGTCTTGTTTCTTCGTTACTTCTTCTCTATAGAGAGAGCCTACTTGTAGCTCAGTTGTTTCCTGTTTCACGGCTTAGCTACCAAGCACTCCTCCTTCCACTTGGGACACTCCCGGTCCAGATGGCCATAACTCTGGCATTTATAGTATTTTTTCGGTCTCTTTTCATTGGGCCTTACTGGGATGGTCTCTCATCCCAGTAATACTTCACTAGGTAGATTATTTGGATAGCGGACCAGTGCCCTTTACTGTTCAGCTTTTTTTACTACAGTTAGTCGTTATCCAATCAGCTCGGCCAGCTCGTCTTACTCAGGATGTTTTATCTCGGTGTTGGAGATTACTCCCAACACCAAGTAATCCTCCGTGTAGGTTTCCAGCTGGTATGATTATATGTTCAAAGTCCGCGTGTTATATGGACTAAAAATGAAGTATATATATGTACCTCGCGTTTCATACCAGCTGGATTCGGTAAAATGCTACTGACACCACATAAGAGGCACGGGCAGTTTCCCATTGAGGTTCACGGCGCCATCAGCTCGATGAACAGGCTTTGTGTGAAATATAACAGAGTCTAGAACTGCTTTTAGTGTCCTTGTGGCCTAGCCGGTAAGCGTTCCCTAGTCACACCCAGTAGGTTGAGGGTTCGATTCCTTGCTGGTGAGGTCGTTGATTATATATATATATATATATATATATATATATATATATATATATATATATATATATATATATATATATATATGCAAGTAAATCACTGTAGGTGCGCGTGATCTAGGTATATGCTGATAACCACAAGGAAAGAAGAAAACACGAAGTTCCCAAACGCTTTCGTGTAATTCACATCTTCAGGGGTGAGTACAGACTAGAGAGAGTAATACAAATCAAGGTGTATATATACAGAGGAGGGTGAGACCAGGTCCACAATGGTCAGGTATTAGGTAATGACCCTACTAATCTTTAAATAGCACACAACGGTTGGTGGTCAGGTCAGATGGTCAAGTGACCAACATGACTTAGACGTATATTTAGGTTGTTGGAATGTCCACTATAGTACAGGTATTATATATATATATATATATATATATATATATATATATATATATATATATATATATATATATATATATATATATATATATATATATATATATATATATATATATATATATATAATGCCTCCTCAATATAACCATGTAATTCAATTGATAGTAGGAACATCATAGAATCTAGTCTTATTAAACATACCGAAGCATTCAACATGAATTTGAGTAACTGCATGTACAAGCTGGACAATTTTTGTAATTAAGAAGATTTGTGATCAGGTGAGAAGGCCGGGTCACTTAACCATCTGACCTGACCACCAACCGTTGTGTGCTATTTAAAGATTAGTAGGGTCATTACCTAATACCTGACCATTGTGGACCTGGTCTCACCCTCCTCTGTATATATACACCTTGATTTGTATTACTCTCTCTAGTCTGTACTCATCCCTGAAGATGTGAATTACACGAAAGCGCTTGGGAACTTCGTGTTTTCTTCTTTCCTTGTGGTTATCAGCATATACCTAGATCACGCGTACCTACAGTGATTTACTTGCATATATATATATATATATATATATATATATATATATATATATATATATATATATATATATATATATATATATATATATATATATATATATATATATATATATATATGAAATATTCAGAAATTTCAGTGTACTTTCAAATGCCGCGCCATTGGCGATACTGAGTTTTCAAGGTGGACTGAGATAGGAGCGCTCCTGCACGTAGTGAGACCTTTTGGAACTAGGCCTATACGATATTAAATGTAGTTTACCGAATTCATAATGATGTGATTCATGAAGATAAGGGACTATTATTGAATTTGAAATTATTATAGATCGTTTATCAGTTTGAATAATGTTATGGGTCTCCCAAGAAAGTTATTAGTTAGCGGAAAATATGTCACGTAGGCCTAGGCTAACGCCTTGAGAGGACACGAGGCTGACTGGCTCTCAGTCAGACGACAGCGGTCGGACAGACAGGACGTCCCTGCGCGTCCGTCCACAAAACGGTCACGTGGTCTAGTCACCTGTGTTGCGCTATTGCAGTATAACAAGTAAGTCTCATTCGATCTCAGGCAGGGTTTAGATAGGGTAGTGATAAAGTTAACAAGAGCTAACAGTGAGTTCATTTCAGGGTTTCCGTCAGAACCCACTTGACTGCGAGAGATTGACTGCCGTTTGAGACTGCCGTTGATGAGTGATGATTGGAGATGGTCGCAGTTGGAACGATCAGTGCAGGCTTGTCACTGGTTAGCGGGGTTAGCAAGGATCTCTTGAGTGAATGAGTGCTCCCGACAACTAAAACGATACGGGACCAGCATCAGCATTGGGTGATCAGTTCTTCCCACATGGGTGCACAACACCACGTGTCTTCGGTCAGCTAGAAGTATTACCTACTGGCCAGGGTCACCTGCTGGCGTTCTTTCTTCCCGCCCATGGACGCACTGAGAGTACACTGAGGCTATCTGAGTAAATTAATGGTCACACACTGAGACCAGGAGTCTAGGGGATACCTAGAGAAACATTTTATCTCCCTTATTATGGGTGTATGTTGAGTTGGGTGAAGCATGGTTCACGGGTATTGGTGGAGCAGTAACTTCTTTATAATAGTGATAACATTTTTGTTTGTAGTTAATATTTCTTAAATATTTTTGATAGTATTGTTTTTTAATGTTGTGTCACCAATTGATGCCAGAGAATGAGGGAACTTTTTCAGATGAGTTTTCCTCTTATGTTGCAAGTGATACTGTGATTTAGTTCCTTTAATGCATTTAATGTTTCTTTATAATTTCAATCTCAGGTATAACCTTTGTTCTCCAGAGTAGTGTTTGAGTTAGGTTGGGAGGTGTGTATTTGTTGGGGTAATATTATTTTATTGAGTGACCTTTAGGCCTATTCATGGTGGATTCAATACTTTCTTATTTTTTATACCATTTTCTCAGTGCTTGATATAATTTGTTGAGTGCCCTTAAGGCCTATTCATGGTGGATTTAATAATTTCTTATTTTATTACCATTTTCTCAGTGGTTGATATTATTTTGTTGAAAGCCCTTAAGGCCTGTTTCATGTGTGCAAGCAACACTTCTTAATACTTTGAATTTATTGTTGTCTAATGAGGCATTGTCTGAGTTTCTAATAAGTTCAATATCATGTATAACTTTTATTCCCCAGAGTAGTGTTTTAAGTTCAGGTTAAGAGGTAGGCATATGTTGGTGTACCATTATTTGATTGTTTCTGTAGTGTTGGAGGGAATATAAGTGTCTAACTTTTACAGTGTGTCTCATTCATCCCAATCACAGATGCTATCCTTCCACGGGTCACGGAGAATTCATTTTGCTACTAAGTTTAAGTGTTCTTGTGCTGGTTCGGGTTTTTTCTCAAAGGGGCGCTTCCACTGCAATTTCCATCTAATCATTTCATAAACCCCAAGTCAGGTAAGAAATTACGTTCCATCAATTTCCGACCGATATTTAGATTTGATGTGTTCCATGTGTGAAAATGTTGATTCACAAAGGTAAGTTGACCCCAAAAATGCTTTTAGGTATATGGCACATTTTCTGATATGGTGATATTTTTCTTCACTGAGAAGGCTCCAGAAACTTCCTCCTGTTGCCATGGATTTGATCTGAATATCATTTTAAAGTTTCAGAAGCTCATTATATATATATATATATATATATATATATATATATATATATATATATATATATATATATATATATATATATATATATATATATATATATATATATATATATATATATATATATATATATAAATAAATATATATTATTATTATTATTTGTTTTTATTTATTTATTTTTTATTTATTTTCTTTTCAGGTACAAGAAGCGTTAATTCGTCGTCCTGGCGTCACACGTGAACAACTTAACAAAGTGAGGGGCGGCGGCCGCTTTTTGGTGGGACAGAACTATAACCCGGCAGCTGATCTTATGTTCACCGAAGCAATTCACGGTGATCTGGCTGACTTTAGGTTTTATGATATTGCCTTATCCCCTGAAGACCTGAGAGACTTTGCTTCGTGTAACGTAACATTTGATTTACCTTCTCCTATGTATGTCTTTGACATTAACATGACCAACTTGGAGTTGAGTGGTGACAGCAAATTGTATCGATCAAGTTTAGAAAACATATGCTCGAAAGGACCTGATCTGGTGATGATCATACCCGAAAGAATAAATTTTGTTAAAGCACTAGTTATGTGCAGTTTATTCACTGGAGGCATCGTTGTGCCCACATATGATGAGGAAAATATAGCAATATACGACAAGTTCGACGACTTCAATAACCACTGTGCAGACAGCTGGGGCACCGCGTTTTGGTTTGGTCTTACAGCAAACTTAACAAGTGGATGGTGGACGAGAGTGTCAGACGGTAAACCCTTGACATGGAACAAATTCGCCCCTGGCTGGGGTGACCCTTCTGAAGAACACAGATGCATAGCTGCTGGTGCCATCAACATGAGATACGTTTGGGCTGCTTCACCCTGCGACATTCATCAATGTCCAATATGTAATTTTACAACGACGCCGAAGCTACATATGCGTGGGCTTTGCAAACTCTCAAAATTTGATCGTTATTATTCTCCATTCGACTACAGCAACATGAAACCAGTATTAGAGGGAACCTTCCTGAGCAGAATATCTTGGGTAAACAATACTTGGTTAATCAAGAGCCGCCTGGAGAAGGGGGTGGAGGCTCGCATGAGTCTCAGAAGCCCAGATGACTATCCATTAGGTCTACATACATGGGAGGTGGTAGGCGACACATGTCGTCAGGATCAAGTAAGCTATAAAAATATTTACATCATTAAGATTTAGGGCTGGGATGGCCAACCCTTTGTGTGATGTGATCTACTTTTTCCACAGTTACCCTGATGCGATCTACCAGCCTCATATTCACCCATAACACCATAAAATACGCAGACTCATAGAGAGAGAGAGAGAGAGAGAGTGAGGTGCACAAATAATGTTTTTCAATAACTGTTATGATATATTGTTAACATGACAAAGGCATACACTGACTTTACTAATGAGATGGTTGGCATTGCATGTTGTCTGCCAGTTTTGTATAATTAGGACTGTAGGCGGTGACTTCTAGACTCAAGCAAGCATCCAGGTGTTCATCTGACGTTGTTGATCGATATTTAGATTTGATGTGTTCCATGTGTGAAAATGTTGATTCACAAAGGTAAGTTGACCCCAAAAATGCTTTTAGGTATATGGCACATTTTCTGACATGGTGATATTTTTCTTCACTGAGAAAGCTCCAGAAACTTCCTCCTGTTGCCATGGATTTGATCTGAATATCATTTTAAAGTTTCAGAAGCTCATTATCGACTCCACATATGTCCATGTTTAATACTGATGCCATTCTAGATGTAATATCTTCAAAATTTGTGTCTTTACCAAACAGAAAACATATATATGTTACAACAGGTTCTATTGTTGCTATATCATGAAACCGTCTGTCAAAATCTGAGGCAAGGGCCTGCACCTGTTCCATATATGGAGCACTATCAAACTGGTCACAGTCTTTTCTTTGGTTTTCTAGTTCAGACATTATATTTCTGAAGTTTCATACTTGACGTTGCTGCAGCTGCGAAGACACTAGTTTTAGTTTCTTTTTGAAAGCAGACACAGCACTAATCATACCAACTATAGTTTTATCTTTCCCTTGCAGATCTAAGTTAATTTATTCAGCATAGCAGCCATGTCAACTAAAAAAGCTAAATCTAACATCCACACTTCGATGTGATCAGGAGGCTGATCTTTAGAGGCCAAAAAAAAGTTAGGAAACCTATCCTCAGTCTTGCACGGGGCAATGGACCCACTGATTGGGCCAGCCATTGCAGGTGCTCCATCAGTTGTTATAGATACGAGCTTACTCACCGGCAACTGTGTACTATTAACGAAATCACTGAAAGTCTGATATATGTCTTCACTCCGAGTTTTTCCTTTTAATGGTAGAATTTTCAGCAGTTCCTCTTTGGTACTCAGGTCTTTAAACACCATACACTCAGGTATGTCTTTATTCACTTGTTCACCCAAATCCTCAGCCATAAATTCACAGCGCCTCATTTCAGTGTTTCTTGATAACTAAAAATCCTTAATAGATGACAGTATTTCAGACTTATTTTTTAAATTTTCAAACAACGAATCTGATGCTTCTAAAAAGTTGTCTTTGAATATTTCTCCATTTGTAATTGTTTTTTTTTATGCTTTGTATGTATGATGCAATGGTTGTTACCCTTGATTTTGAGATCGCGCCGGTAAAAAGAGTTTGTTGTGCAGTAAGCTCTGATTTCAGTTCATGAACTTTCCTCTTTCGTAGCTCACTTTTGGGTGGGAAATTATTATCATACTTCTTGTGAAAACTATTGAAATGCCTTTCAAGATTTCCTTTATTAGCTAGAGCTGAAAACGCATGGCAGATTAGACACACACACACAGACTTCAAATTATTAATTGTAAAAAAAATAGTCTTTCTCCCATTCATTGCGAAAATGGTAAATGTTGGTCTTTTTAGTACTTGGTCCAGAACCAATTTTTCAGTTCAGTTGATGGCCAATAACCTGTATTTGGAAAAGAAAAAGTCGTACGTGAATACGGGAAATATTTTTTCCATGACCTTTCCTATGTGAAAATGATAATTACTAACCAGAATAGCGTAATGTTTTTATATTTTTTTTTACATAAGCATTTGTCGCCGGCTAATGTGGACATTTTTGTCTACTCTAGGGTTGCGGCAAGAAGTGTTGCTAAGCTAAAAAGTCAGTAATTCTCGGAATCACCCAAGACTTTTCCATAACAAGAGACAAGTGTTGGAGATGACTGAAAATCACTACGTTGCTGGTGCCAAGTGTGAAGGCTCGTAGGGACAGGGTTGTTAAATATGATACTATCTCTTTACTTATAACAAGACTTCTCAATATTGAGTCGACTTTTTCATTACCAAATTCATAAATACAAGGTTTAACGTGCATTTGACAACTTACTGATCAGTTCCTCACCAGGAACCAGGCAGCACCGGCTCGTATGAACGCGAACACTTCCTATCAGGTTCCCCCACATACACCATGGCACAGTCGAAGTTTTTATGTGTGTATCGTTCTGATGTGTCCGTAATGATAATCTATACCAAGAAAATTTCTAAACAAAAATAATATCACAATGATTATGAGTAAAATTTGAATATGATTTTTGTATGGCAGCTTATGAAGGATGGATCATTAAGTTTATCTCTGCCATGTGATCGACTAGAGAAGGGCTTGCGATCGACCAGTCGATTGCGATTGACGGGTTGGCCACCCTTGATTTAGGATTTACATTTTCACTTGACGGAAGTCCAGGTTTCCTTTTATTTATTTTTTTTGCACACTTTATAGAATAAAATGTAATAACAAAGATATGAAATAAAGGACACCTAGGAATAATTGAAAATACATTCGCTTATGAGGATATTTTTTGATGACTTAATGTTTCTGTACAGTAATGTATATATCAGCTTTTTAATGAACCAATGTAAAAAAAATATTATTTTCCTATGTTTACCACAGGACCTAATTATGAATTCATAATATACAGGTGCAGTTGTTGTTAACGTCATGCAGCGCTACTGACTTCACATGCAGTGACGGGTCATGCATTAAGAAGACCAAACGCTGTGACCAAGAGGTTGACTGTCCAGATAACACGGACGAGCTGAACTGTGACCTCATTTTGCTCCCCAAAGGATATTCCAAAGAAATTGCGCCACCGGCAGTAGAGTCCCCTCTTTTATCTCTCCACATCTCGCTCGACATCACCTCCATCAGGGAATTTGACATCTTGGGATTCATGTTGGCAGTTGACATCATTCAAAGCATCAAATGGAGAGACACGAGGCTCGTCCTCAGGAACCTACATCAAGGAAACTTTCCCAACGAAGCAAAAGTTAAACGCTAAAGTTTCTTGACATTAACGTTTCTTCATTAAATTTGCTTTCTACAATAATCGATGATATTTAAGATATTACCATTATGATATTTGAGACTAAAGTAGATGTTCCTTTTGTATTCTAGAGATTTGATAAACTGTGGCTGCCGGACATCTTGGTGAAGGATGGGACCTATAGCCCTACCGACCTGCAGATGAGACGAGTGAGGCTGTTGGTACGCCGAGACGCAGATCCTCTACCAGATGATGATTCCAACTACTCAGAAGGTTAGGCTACCTCCTATCAGACTTTAGTACCAATCATCCAATTGGGTTTTATCAAGGTTATTTGCAATTAATTAACACAACTACTTGAGAATTACACAGTATTTATAATGACAGTAAATTTTTTACGAATGTGAAGTATAAATCTAACAATAAGGAAAATGTGAGTACTTTCAGGAACATAAATATCCTCATGTTCTTCGTTTTCTTCGAGTTATTATAACATTTTACGAAATTTCTCATTAGCAACACATTGTTAATAGTTTTTCTGTAGAATTCTACGATTTTGTATGGTAAGTCGCACAAACTATTTTACTTTAAGTACTTGAAATAATATTTCCCGGAGAGATAATTAATCAAGCTGCTCTCTTTGACTACAGATGAGTTATACCGCGGGGTGAACAGCACGGTGAAGCTGGTGCAGCAGTATACAGTTACGCTTATGTGTCAGTTCCAGCTTCAGGCCTACCCGTTTGACTCTCAGAGGTGTTCCCTGGTCTACTCCATTCCTGATCAGGCTGTGGGGAACATTTTGCTACTACAGGTAAGCTTGGGTGTAGTTCCTGGGATCCTTTTATTTGTTGGTGGATTTATTAGCATTACAATTTATTGAGCTTTATATTCTCTTCCTAAAACATAATCACCATACATCCTCAGTGTGGACCTACTGTATATCGTACCATCTGTAACATTAACTTTGTTGATTTGTAACATACACACAATAAAATTCTACACTTTCATCATTATTTCCTTAACGACCGTATGTCAGTAGTTTTCCCCGGGTAGCTGACCATCACTCTGTCACTCATTACAGGAGGAGGTGAAGTTCACAGGGGAGCGGCGGCTGCTGGAGTACGAGCTGGTCAACGAGACGCTCACCGCCCATGGTAACATGTCTGCCGCCGTCCAGGTAGATTCACATTATGAGTAATCGTTAATGACGATAAAGCATAAGTTTGTAACCAAAGCAGCAGATAAATATGATTAGAACTAACGTAATTTATTATAGAGACTACACACTTATAGGGATATTTGCAACTCAGTAAACGAGATATCGAACAATGGTACAAGTCAATTAAACGCCTCTTATTCTTTGCCAATTTGACCTCCCCTATGATTTTTAAAGCACTTAAGATATGAGAACACTATTAACAGATCTGTGGCCGCCAGGTTAAAGAAGAAAGCGACTGAAGAAGCAATATTTATTTTTCATTACCTTTACTGACTCGCAAACCCAGTCTGATTATTAACAAGCGCAGACAAAATTATTGTCTTAGAGGTCAATATTTTGCCCAGTTTGAATCGTCAAGCTAGCAAATATAAGCTTCTGTGTGCAGACATAATTATACATTATAGAACGTAAAGTTAATAATTTTATTTTATTTTCTAAGATATACCGTAAGGCGTTGCAGACTTGCCTGCGGTCTGAGTAAGTCAGCCTAAAATTCATTGTCTGACTCAGACATAGCTTTAAAGTTTGTTTGAAATAGTTTATTAATCCTATCAACAGCTGCGGTTGGTGTTCCAGAACCAATATGGTTATTACATCGCCAACGCTGTGGTGCCCAGCTTGCTCATGGCCACCATCTGTTACCTCACCTTCTTCTTCGACCTCGACGACTTTACGGTACGATATATAATATAAGAATATTTACCATTATTACCAACAACATGATCACACACAATTCATTTGCCTTATTTTTTTTTGGCCCCTCTGATAATTTTATTGGAAAAGTTTTAAATAATAAAACATATTTTGTGTTGAATGATATAAGAAGTTGAAAAATACACCTTTCTATAGGATCCACATAATAATTCCTTTAACAGGACTCAAAGGTGATAGAAAACTCAGTTTTATGTTTTTGGTCAATTGTAACCCAGCGAGTCATGTGGGACTGAATGGAGGAAAATATTTACAGTACGTATAATTGTTTGAAAATATTGGCCTCTTCAATCAAAATATCTTTCTCACAGGATCGTATTATGGTCTCGCTGACGTCCCTGCTGGTGCTGGCCGCGCTCTTCACACAGACCAGTCAGTCCATCCCTAAGACCGCCTACCTCAAGCTTATCGACATTTGGTACGTCACCCTCATCATCACTGACTTCCTCATCATCGTAATGCTTGTGTTCATCGAGAATCAAAGGATGCAAGAAAAACTGTCTGGAGACTCGTCTAATTTTGTCTTTAAGAGCGCACATAAGATCATGCCCGTAGAACCCAACACTCTGTCTACTGTACCTAACCCAGCCGCCAGTATTTTCAATTCTCAAAACAAGGGATTAATGTCAGCCCAAAAGTTAAATGGAGTGTCACAAGTATCGTTCCCTGTGTTGGCAACAGCTGGATGTTTCTGCTGGATCCTTATTCATCTCCAATCGTCTACGACTTCCCATAAAGTTTAGTGTAAGAAAGTTAACAGTTTTTAAGGTATCTAAATATATTCTGTAGATTTACACTATACGGCAATAATTGACAAAATCGGAATGCATCTCCTGCCTATACACTAGCATTTATCTCTCATTCTCTCTGTTGTTTTCAAATTATTTCTTACCACTTTCATATATAAAGAAATTATTGAATAATGCTGATAAGTACCCCATTTGTTGTGTGGTGAATGTGTCAGTATTGTCCACAGCTACTAACAACAAAAATGGTGCTAAAATTAATAAAACAACTGCTTACTAGTTATTGTATAGTTGCCTGAACTGTTTTGCAGAGTTTATCTAATTCCCGAAAAGGAAAATTCATCCCACTAGCACTCTGTGTAAATGCGAAAGCTAAATTTCACTTCATTTTATGATCTAAAAAGGAAATGTATATATTTACGTGATAATAAGATATCTTTAGCTATAAATTGTAACACTAAGTTATCAGAAACATTTCCCGTCCCACATGCAAAATCCTCTATAACACAAATATCCACTGAGATATGCTCTGGAACACCTTACGCTAGGATTTACTGGCTTATGTGTTGTTTTCCCAAATCATAATAGTTCAAAATATCCCTCCAATCATAACAGGACAGTTTTCCCTTAGGCATTTCTCTCTCTTCTAAATCCCTTGGAATAGATTAAATACTTGCCTATGTTAAAGACTTCATAACCTCAATTCAGTACATTCCGGTCCTCTATACTGGATTGCCTTAGAAAATTTGAGATCGATCTTTGCCTCGCATGCTCCTCTTAACAGTACTATGAATAACATACTGTCGACAAAGAATTATGATTCATATGGATCAAATATATAATTCTTGTAATATGGAAACCTTCCCATCTAACGTAAAGCTTTATGTGTAAAGTTATTTAATATCTTAAGTTGAAATATATTAGAGTAAAGTTAATTATAAGCAGTAGAGTCGAAAATATCGAAGTGACATCCCAATGAATTTTTAACTATTAAGTGTTAGTGATAGTTGAGTTATTATTGTGTGTGCAATAAGATATTTATTAAAGTAACACTAGTAAATATGTATCTGAGCATCGATAACCTTAGTATTTATTCACTTAGGTATTGAAAAGTTCCCATATATGTATTTCATCCTGGACACTATGTACGCTGTTGAAATAAATATCTTTGTCACTACTTTTATGATCATTAACATTATACACACACACACACACACATATATATATATATATATATATATATATATATATATATATATATATATATATATATATATATATATATATATATATATGCAAGTAAATCACTGTAGGTGCGCGTGATCTAGGTATATGCTGATAACCACAAGGAAAGAAGAAAACACGAAGTTCCCAAGCGCTTTCGTGTAATTCACATCTTCAGGGGTGAGTACAGACTAGAGAGAGTAATACAAATCAAGGTGTATATATACAGAGGAGGGTGAGACCAGGTCCACAATGGTCAGGTATTAGGTAATGACCCTACTAATCTTTAAATAGCACACAACGGTTGGTGGTCAGGTCAGATGGTCAAGTGACCCGGCCTTCTCACCTGATCACAAATCTTCTTAATTACAAAATTGTCCAGCTTGTACATGCCGTTACTCAAATTCATGTTGAATGCTTCGGTATGTTTAATAAGACTAGATTCTATGATGTTCCTACTGTCAATTGACTTACATGGTAATATTGAGGAGGCATTATCCCAGTCAATGCAATGCTTGTTATCCCTCGAATGAACAAACAGAGCATTGGATTCCTGGCCTGTCCTAACACTGTATTTGTGTTGTTTAATTCTAGTTGCAAGATCTTTACCTGTCTGGCCTAAGTAAAACATATTACATTCCTTGCAAGGAACTTTATAAATGCAACCAATTGTGTTGTTGGGGAGTTCTTGATTAACATTTGTTTAACAGTGCATGAGTTTTTAAATGCCACATTGACGTTCCAGGTTTTTAGCTGTGCAGGAATGTGTGAGAAATTTTTGTGAAATGGTAATATTAAGATATTCTTATGGTCATGGGTGGGCTTGGGGTCAGTTCTATAAAAAGTTTTCTTAGTAATGTTTAAGCATTTGTCTATGAAAGATCTAGGGTATTTAAGGTTTGAGCCAATAATATATATATATTTGTATTCCTCATCGATGAATTCCGGACTGCAAATTCTCAAGGCAAGTAAAAACATTGTTGAAAATACTGACTGTTTGACTTTATTATGGTGGGCAGAATAATAATGAATGTATGAACACACATTAGTTGGTTTTCTATAAATACTGAACTTAAAAGTGTTACCTATTCTGTGTATCAGACAGTCTAGGAATGGCAATTTACAGTCTTGCTCTAATTCTACAGTGAATTTGATCGAGGGGGCTAAGTTGTTAAGTTGTGGTAGGAAAGCTTTTAGGTCCTCATTACATGGCCAGAGACATAATACATCATCAACATATCTAAACCAGACTGCTGAGAGTGGTAAAATATTACTTAATAGTTTCTTTTCAAAGAATTCCATATATAGGTTGCTTAATACAGGTGAGAGTGGATTACCCATTGCCATACCAAATTTTTGAGCATAATATTCCCCATTGAATTCGAATTTGCAATCCTTAATACATAGTTTGATGAGTTCGATGTGATCAGGTGAGAAGGCCGGGTCACTTGACCATCTGACCTGACCACCAACCGTTGTGTGCTATTTAAAGATTAGTAGGGTCATTACCTAATACCTGACCATTGTGGACCTGGTCTCACCCTCCTCTGTATATATACACCTTGATTTGTATTTCTCTCTCTTGTCTGTACTCACCCCTGAAGATGTGAATTACACGAAAGCGCTTGGGAACTTCGTGTTTTCTTCTTTCCTTGTAGTTATCAACATATATATATATATATATATATATATATATATATATATATATATATATATATATATATATATGCGAATTAATAAGTTTTGATGTAAATTCACTGTTCACTAGAGTACCTGTGAAAGACCTACTTTCATTTCTTAAAGATAAATTACAACTGTTAGATTTAACTATTGAACATGATACTTTCCTCAAATTGATAGTTATGCGTAACTGACAATGTGTTTAGAGCAAATGGGAAGTTCTACAAGCAAATATTTGGCATGAGCATGGGTAATTGTCTTTCTGCTCCTCTAGCCTGTATTTATATGGAGTTTTTTGAGTCTAGATTACTACCCAATATAGTGGACTTTATTCCTCCATGGTATAGATATGTAGATGATGTTCTTTGTCTTTGGCCTAGAAACAGTGACCCATTGGAATTTTTAGACAAGCTTAATGATATTGTCCCAAGTATCACATTCAAAATTGAAAGAGAAATAAATGGATCCCTTCCATTCCTTGATATGCTTATCATGAGAAATGGCCAAAACTATAAATTTAAGGAATATAGAAAGCCCACACAGGTAGACAGTTTCATTCACTTTTTATCGAATCACATTGAGTCTACCAAAATGTCAGTTTTTTCTGCTATGTTCTTAAGATGTCTGCGTATTTGTGACTCTGAATTTATTGACGATGAATTGAAACACATTCGTTCCATTGCACAGAAACTCGGGTACCCTTCTGTGTTTGTTGATCGTTGTTTTAAAAGGGCTGAAAAATCCTTTCATTCCTCTCAAACCAGACAAGTTCCTACACTTAAGAATATTTTGACTCTGCCCTATCGTAATGAATTTGTCCCGTTAGTTCGGACCCTCAAGCTTCTAAATATTAATGTTGTTTTCAAGTATGACTCAACCATTACCAATATGTTAATACGGAATAGCCCAAGTTTGAATGTAAATGGAAGTGTTTGTTGTATTCCATGTAGCAAATGTAATGGTAATTATGTAGGACAGAAAGGAAAAACACTGCAGCTCAGAATCAAACAACATAAGTATAATATCAGAACTGCATCTGAAAGCAGTGCCTTGTTCGTTCATGATAGGAATAATAATCACCCCATTGCTTGGGAAAAAAGCTTAGAAGTATTCAAATCATCTTGTGTCACACTGATAATATGTTACATAAATTTATTTGTCAGTGGCCCAAGGTTAAAAATGCTTTGAAAACCTTTGATCTAGATGTATGATAGTTATTTTGTGGGTCCCTTTTTTCTGACCTGACCTGGTTAGTCACGTCACCACCCTTCTCTTTAGCTCCTCTACGTGTGTGTTGGTGTGTGGATTAGTGGATGTCATCATTATGACCTGACCTCATGTTTTTAGGTCACCCTGTATATTTAAGCCTCTCTCTGTCCATGTAATCCACAAACAGCAGACAACGACAACCACGAGAAAGACAAAAGAAGCACACACCAAGGCACCAGAAGGAATGATACACGTATCAGACCTAGCCAAGGTACTGACAACCTTCACGGAGGGCCTAGCCGGACTACTGGGCCACGAGATCCAACCCACACAGCTCCAAATACTCATGGGGAGCGTCCTCGGGCAAGTCGCCACAGCTCCAGCCACCTCAGTGGAGGAAGCCACTCCGGTCCGCACACGAGTAACAGCCGAGGTACACTCTACACCAAAGAAGGCCACCAGAGAACCCAAGATACCGACAGCTCCCAGAAAGAAACTGGACGTTTCAACTCCCCTGAACCGAACCACGGCCCAGAAGGCAAAAACCACAGAACACGAAGACATGGACCTGATCCAGTTGGAATCGAGCTTGGACATCTCCATCGAGAACCACCAGAAGTCCCCGATGAAACAGTGGTGGAAAACATCAGCACCCTGAACATCCTTACATGGAATGCTCAGGGCATCAAAAACAAGAAACACCTCCTACAAGAAGCAGCAGCCAAGGACAAGCTTGACATCATACTCCTACAAGAAACACTTCTACAAGAACACCACTGTTTCAAATTCAGCGGTTACAAGACATACAGGAGGCATTTCACGCAGGCGTCAACAAGAGGATGTATGATCTTGGTCAAGTCAAGCATACCCTCCGCCGATGTCACGCAGCAATTTTCATGTGGGGAAAACATCGAGACACAGGCCGTCAAAGTAACCCTCCAAGAACGGGAATTAACTGTTCACAACATCTACAAGAACCCAAGGGGCTCACTGGAGGTTACTCAATTATTTGCTTCGGCCGCCGACCACGCCACACTCATAGGAGGGGATTTCAACGCACATCATCCCTTCCTAAGCTCGGCAAGCCCCACAAATGAAGACGGCCTACACCTATACACCACCTTTCAAGATACACCCGAGATCTGCCTCCTGAACACCGGAGAGCCCACCCACACTAGGGGAGGAAGGCTAGATCTAACCTTCGTGTCCAGTGCACTACAGCCTTCGGCCTCCTGGCAGATACACCCCACGCTGACCAGCGACCACTTCGCCACCCTAACAACGCTGAAGGTGAACAAACTCCCCACTCCACCCCCTCTCGAGATGGAGATACAATACCCAAAAGGCAGACTGGGGACTCTTTAAGAAACACCTGGCTAAGTGGCGCGAAAAATCACAGTCGGCCGGCGCAGCACCCGTGGATGAGACAACCCTCCACCACCAATTGGTCGAGGCGTTTCACCAAGCGGCAGAAGAGGCTATCCCAAAAACAAAACCCACATCAAGACAGTACAATGATTACTGGTACTACTGTCCCAGGGTGAAAGAACTCAACCACAGAGTGAACATGGCCCGAAGAAACTACAGGAGACATCCCACGGCAACAAACAGACATCTCCTGCAAGTCATAGTTAAGGATACCAGGGAAGAGAAGGAAGAAATTAAAAACGTAAGCTGGCTCAAGTGGTGCTCCGAACTGAACGAGCACACCTCCCTTGGCAAGATGTGGGCCCAGATCCGAAGGGCATCTGGGAAGGCAACACCACCACCACCAACCCATCCCAACCCAGAAGAGGAAGCCGAGAGACTTGCAAAACTGTTCTCTGACCGAGCAGCAACGAAAAACCTCCCGAGACAGGCGGAGGAGACAACGGCGTCTGCGACAGGTCAGACTCCAGATGATCGAAGAGGCCTGCAACAGTGAAGATGACACTGACAGACCATTCAACCAGCAAGAACTCCAGAAGTCGCTAAAACGAAGCAAGGACACAGCTCCAGGGGCCGACAGGATAACCTACTCCATGCTTTCTCATGCCGGTACAGCCGGACACGAGGCTCTGCTGC